TCTATTCTTTCAGAAAACTTGGAACTTTTCACTTTTCCAGCCAGTTGTAGTTTGTATAAAATTCGATCATAAATTTTTAGTTATGCTTTGAGAGCAACAAAGATGTTGTTTTGTCTTGCTCAGCATCAATAATCCATTTTCCACTCTATTAGCATATGCAATTTTATCATAAATATTTCTATCATTCCCATGCTGATAAATTTTATTGAAATACTTCTTCAGTTCGGAGAATCGCTGCGCGCGCGAGTGAGTCGAATGCTTACTGAAGTGAGCAATATTTCGACTGGCGCGCGGTCTATTTGCTACATTCAAAATCATCATCCGAGATTCAGAATCATCCACCTAGGTGTAATTTTATCTTTAACATTTGGTGAAATAAAATAAAATTTATAAAGATATTGATATTTTCTTATACAGTACGTTTTTCAAATTATTACAATAATTATTTAAAAAATCGGTTTCTTCGAAACTATGGGGGCCAAATACATATCGTTTTTTTTTTCTCAAGAACAGCCTGTGAAAAGCATCAAAATCTCCGATACCGTTATCTAGTGTTCCCCTTGTGAGTTCATAATTAAAACAGAAGGCAAATAAATAAATTTTTATTGCCAATTTATTCTACATACGATTCTTATAATGTTTCTATACATTCTTATAATGATTCTATACATCGTTTAGTCCGCCAATCATCTCACTGTTGAGGATTTCCACCTCACTTCTTCTTGCTTAGGGGCGGATGACTTTTCACGCGAAGGAAGATGTACCTTTATCCCTCCCCCTCCCTGCCACCTAGGGGCGCATAATTTTTCATGCAAAACGAGATGCCTATCTCCCATCTGCTTAGAAACGTTCAATTTTTCATGCGAAAGGAGGACTTTCCTTGCAAAGCGAGACCCACCTTACCTCCCCTTCCCCCTCCAGCCAAGAGGCGACTGATTTTCTCCTAAATAAGAGAGGAGGTGGAGTATACTTCGTTTCACATAGAAAGTCGTATGCTCCATGATAGTGGGGGAGGGAGATGGGGTTGACCGCTGAAATTGCTTTACTTGGAAAGTCGTATGCCCCATGCAGGCAAGGAAGGAGATAGACTTCCTTTTGCATGGAAAATTGCCTGTCAACATATGTATAGCAGATATAAGATGACAAGACATTATTTTTTAAACTTTGTTTGTTAATAACTTTTAAACGAACAGTGACCACTACCTGAAACTTTTTGAAGATCATTCAGTTCGTTTACTACGAGCTATTCAAATCAAACGAAAGTATCACGGGGGATCGATTGAAATGAAGTCTGAATGAAGCATTGTTGGAAAAAAGACCAGTAGTAGCAATCGACGGAAAGTTATGCTTTTGCACGACAACGCTCGACCACACGTTGCAAAAACCAAGGAAACACTGATGCAGCTCGAGTGGGAAGTTCTCCCGTACCCAGCGTATTCACCAGACTTAACTCCTTCAAACTATTACTTGTTTCGATCGATGTAGCACGGCTTGGTGGATATATTTTAGAATTACGAGGAAATTACACGAAAATGAATCGATAAATGTGGATTGCTTCAAAAGACCACTCGTTCTATCGTCGCGGAATCCACTTATTACCACAAAGATGGGAAAAATGTACAGCTAGCGAGGTCAAATACTTTGATTGATGTATTTTTTGCTTTTTATATCGAGATAAAGGAGTTTTTTAAGCAAAAAAACCGCGGAAACTAAGTTTATAGTACTTATAATGTAATTAATCTCATATTTCTCATATTCTTCATTATATATGTTGCTTCTGTTTTTACTTTTAAGACATAAATTTTTAATGATCCATTTGTCTGTTTATATCTTTTACACTTTTATGTATTACGTAATTCAATTTGTAATTTGATTGTTTAATAGAAGAAAATTTATTCCGCTTTAAACATCTTCAAATTCTTCGATTGTTGAAATATTTTCTTTGTTTACATCAAACCAAATTTTAATCTTACCTTGCAATACTCTCCTTATTAACGATAATTACCTTTTTAGGAATATTCTTTATGTGAAAATAGCATTTAAATTTATTTAAAAGTCCTTGCAGATTATTCTCGACCTTATTTCGAAATTGTGGCATTTTACATAAATTTGCCAATTATATGTTCAAACATTATCTCTGACAGTAGCTTTTCATCTTATAGAGGATGTATATACGAGGGTCGTTTTAAAAAGTTTTGAGCCTAACATAAATACAAGTATTTTTTCGGTCAAATTCAGTTTTATTTTTTAATGTAGTCTTCTTTTAAATCGATACACTTTTCCCAGCGATGCTTCCATCCCTTTAATCCATTCAAATAATAGTTAGCGTCTTGCTCTGCAAAATAGGCTTCTACGGATGCAATGACCTGCTCGTTCGATAAAAATCTCTATCCTCCAAGCCAAACTTTGAGTTTAGCAAACAGAAAAAAGTCACTGGGAGCTAGATCTGGTGAATGTGGGTAGTCAATCAATTCGAATCGCAATTCGTGAATTTTTGTCATGGCGATCGTCAAAGCGTGAGGCGATGCGTTATCTTGATGGAACAGTACTTTCTTCTTTTTCAAATGCGGCCGTTTTTTTTTGCAATTTCTACCTTCAGCTTGTCAATTATTGATACGTAATACATTCTCGTTATTGTTTTACCTTTTTTGAGATAGTCGATGTGAACAATTTTATGACTGTCCCAAAAAACAGTCGCCATCACCTTCCCGATGAAATTATCTTGACCTTTTTCGGAGCAGGTTCACCCTTCGCAATCCACTATTTTGACTGTTCCTTCGTCTCAGAAGTGAAGTAATGGATCCAAGTTTCATCCACAGTTATTAATCGACGCAAAAAATTCAACTCGTTTCACTTAAACCGCTCCAACAGAGCCTTGGAAATGTTCATTCAAATGTGTTTTTGCTCCACAGTGAGCATATGGTTAGCTTACGCATACCTAATTCTTCAGTCAGTATATGATAAACGCATACTTTCGATATGTCTCTGTTATCTCTCTAACTTTGATTCGACGGTCGTCGGATTCGATGGACCAGTACCATTTGGTGAACTTTTTCGATGTTCTTGGTTAGTTTTTGGGCGTTCCGAACGCTCATCATCAACTGATACAACCACGTTTAAATTCAGCTGACCATCTTTTCACGATAACAAATGATGGGGCAGAGTCTCTGTAAACAGTGTCCAACTCGGCTTTAACTTGCGTAGGCATATTGCCTTTTAGATGCAAAAACTTAATCACGGCACAATATTCGATTTTTTCCATTTTTACAAAAACACTGACATCGACTGGCGCAAATGACTCAAACAACAACTAAGCGTCCAAGATGGCTACAATTTTCAGGTATCTTTCGAAGTATGTACGATTGTAATACCAGAATGGTTTTGACGAGTAATGTTATTTTTATATTGAAACTTATATGAAAAACTTTTCAAATAACTTATGTATACTTGAGTTATATGTCGTATCTTTATACTCTAATGCCTGTAGCTATCTCCGCAACGTTTCTAGCTCAGTGTTACCTTTTCTCTAACTTTACTATGCCAATGTTTTCACTTTTTTGTACTGAGTTTTTCGGCTTTGAACTTGTATTTAACCTCGGTATCTTTCGATTGGCGATCTTCTTTTTGCAATTTCCTAGCTATTGTAATATCCGTTAACATATACATTTGTAATATATAATTGTAATATAATTGTAGTAATTATTTTCCCTTATATTTATTTAATTTTTCCTTTTTTTTGTTCGGGCACCAATTGTAACGTTTCAGAATGATTTAGGAATAAGTTATATAAATTCTTTAATTTACTAGTCGCGTGATTACAATTATTGTTTCATTTAATGACCAATTATGTTATTAGTCTTATAGAAAGATTTGTCGAATTTTATCATGTATAGATGAAATTATGCTGATATTTGACTAACAATAGGAACTGGAAACAATAGGAATACTGAAATGTATTCGCTTACAGAATTGTATATTAAAGTATAATATTGATGTATATAATATTGATGGCGATTAAACGCCAGGATCTCCGGTCTGACTTTGGCTATGAATTAACGTGTATAATTACAACCATGTGCAAAAATATTAGGCATTTACAATTTTCTCGCATTTTATTGTGTAGAAACTTACTTTTCCTAAAATTTTTTCAATTTTAAAATTAAAAAACATACAGAGAAAAGACAAAAGAGAAAAAATGTTTGTTATAATATGCTTGATTCGTATAAATTTTTTCAATTTTTTTAAATAACTTTATTCGATCATCAATTGTAAAAAAGGTGTACATAATAAAATTTCACATAATAAAAAATATGATATTTTTACGAAAAATTATCGTACAAATTTTTTTCAAAAAGCATTTTGAAGCTTAGGAAGCCTACTTTCATATACTTTCATATTAAATTTTGTTTGCTGATATTTCACTGTAGTGCTTTTCTCAAGTAAGAACAAATCACAAAGCTATTATTTTTCAATTTTATTTACTTAAGAACAAAATATCGTAGACAAAAGATTCAAAGCCCGCAGATTTAAAGCCCCCTATTTTTACACTTGCGTTTACAAAATGCATGGTCAAGAGGCTCTCTGAAATTTTTTTTGCTGAAATATTTGACTTTTCGTACAATGCGAGAAAATAAGAGCCTAATACTTTTGCACATAGCTGTACATATTAATGACAGTACGTGGTACCTCATGATCTGAAGATATCAGTATGGAGCAAGGCTTGGAACTAATTATCCCTATTTATCTTTTCGCCTATTTTTCTCTTAATTTATCTCAAACTATCTCCAGTATTCCTACAATCATATCTTTTAGATGTTCTACTATAAGGATATAAAAAAAAATAAAATTTGATTTTTTGAAGGTTCTTATTTTCTGAATTTTCTGAATTTACTTAATTGATTTTCCGAATTCACTTAATATTTTAATAACGCCCTTCGTTTTTGTTCACCTTTGACCTTTTTTCTTATATTATTATATTTGTTAAAAATGTATTGTTTCAGAACGATATTTTCATCCTGTGCATACGAGTGGCGTGGTAGATAAAAATGGCAGTGGTAATTTAATAAGCAGTGAACTTGGAGTAAACACAGATTCATCACATCATCACCAACAGCAGCAGCAGCAGCATCAACAGCAACAACAACAGCAGCAACAGCAGCAGCAGCAACAGCAGCAACAAGTACAGCAACAGCAATCATCTTCGCAACAGCAACAGCAGCAGCAGCAGCAAGTAATAGCAGATAAATGCAGCGGGCCCAAATCTTCTCCGTGACAGTGGAGTCGAAGAATGGAAAATCTTGAAAAACTCACGAACTCGCCGTGTTTGTTAGAATCGATAATTAGTATTACATATAATAATTGCCGAAGTCACATCCGAAGTCGAGTTCGAGAGCAATTGTCAGGAAACTATGCCTCGTATTCAATTATATAATTTAAACTACGAAGAATAGAATGCTTAAAAGTTCGATTAATTTATGTATTACGAAGTAAGAGAATAAGAAGAATGCTTTTCAAGGAATGCAACTAAGAAGGAAAAGATCTATTAATTCATATTTATTAGGATAAATTAATATCTAATATAAAATATATACTAGGATAGATTAATACATAATATGAAGTTTCATATTGTGAAGCAATCCATTCTAACCAATATTGTATAGTATAGTTTATCGTGCGATACAATTTACGACGCTTAAAGTGTGCTATGATACACAAAGAACTGAAACAGTAAGACATGAACAGTAAGCAAATCAATATTTGGATTTGCCACAACTTACGTTTAATGATCTCTACTGTGATTAGCTCATTTGCTTACTGCTTAAATGTTTTTGTGTACCATATAGCCTTTAATGCAGCCATAAGTTAACGTCGCCGTGCATGCCTTATTCTGTTTGAGAACAGAAACTTGTTTACATATAGTAGCTACAACAATATATTGTTTAAGCTATAAACATATTTAGATAAAACGATAAATTTTTAAATTTTCAATATTGTATAAACAATTGGACATGATAATGGAGTATTATGGCATATTGCTTTACTGATTATGGACTATTGTAAAACATCGTTTGATTTGTAGTCAACTACATAAAGCTTGTATCAATCGATATGCGGTCCATGAATTATGAATAATAGACTAAATTGGTTTTTTTTTTCATTTCTTGTCTTTTACCTTGTCCCCCTTTCCTTTTCTCTTTCTCTTTTTCGTAGTTTTCTGTAGCTTAAGGTATACAAGTGAGAGTGGCCAACTTCTTTTATTTATGTTATTAACAATTCTTTCACACTCGCAATCATAATTGTAGCGTATTGCAGTAGGTATGGTAATCTTTCAATGCTGTATTAGAATAAAAATATGTTTGTTATTTTATAGTAATATTTTTATAATAATATTATCATAATGCGCAAACACATTTTTTCCTATTAAGAATGAAATTATAATACCGTTTTATATTTAATAACCTTTCAGAAAAAGAGTGAAAAGTTAGAATTTTTGTATCATGTAAAAACAGGAATAACTTGTATCTATCGTACTTATCAGGTTCCCGCGAGCGCTGAATATTCTCATCTTCTTAACATTATCTGAAAACTTTAAGAAATCTCATTCATATATTTTCATGTTGAATTAACACTAGAATACAAAACAGTAGCTTAACGATTTTTGGCATGATTCTGGCATGTGTATATTAAAGTTTTATTTCTCTTACAAAAATTAATATTTTACGTTTAGTTTAATTCTTTGCGTTATATTTTTTAAACGTATATATACAAGTTCCTGTATGTTTGTATAAAATTTATTGTATATTTTATATTAATAATATTGGCAACTATTTTCTGAATAAATACTCATTAATATTATTAATATACAATACGAATAAAATACGGATACAGTTTGAACAAATAAATTTTGTTATCGCGAGTGTCGTAAGAGGATATGTATGAATAATTTATTGACAACGAATTACGATTCATCTATTGAATAATCGAGTTATATAGTGTATAGAGTTTTTCGTGTCAATAAAACAGCACGCGTGTTACTTTTTGAATAGCATTATTATTAAATTAAGAATGGAATTAACGCGAGAAAAAAATAATCCGTTGGCGAAGATCAATTATTCCATTTTAGAGATCTGTCGAATGTAATGTTGATTTATGAACGCGAGATATTCAATAATAAACATAATATCGTCGTGTAATTAAGGCTGGTATTAATATTAAGCAGGAAGAGAGCTAATGATAACTAGTCATCAATGGATGCTAATAAAATAAATATGTATCGTTTATATATATTAGATATTAAGCGCTTAATTATTTTTAAATATGTTATGAACGATATCGATATATATCGAAGATAAGAAGCATAGCAATATTGCTTTGAAAACGAAAATATTTTATACAAAAGTTTGTAGCAGCAAAATGAATTTCAATGACAAAGTACATCAGGAAAAGAAATGTATAAGATATAATATTGCTATTACTTATTTTATTTATTTTATAGAGAAATACTCGATAAATAACTAAAAAAGTTTTTGTTATTTATGTTATAAATATGACAAACAAAGGTCTCTAGTATACTCATAAATTAATACATTTCAGAAATATTTTAGAAATAATATCCCTAACTTTTCCTTTTTTGCATACAAGTGACAAGAAAGACTTAAACTTGTTTTCTTCATCATTTGTAATCAAAAGAATGTAAATGATAAAAGCACTTGATTTACGTGTAAACAATATGTTATCAGTCTTATATATATATGTATATTATCTTTATAACAAGATTAATTTTCTATCATATTTAATATCTTATTATTATAATAATTTGTTTAAACAAACAGCCATGCACTTTAGAATTTTCTCCTTTAATGTATTTTCTTTAGTTTTATTAATGTTTTTAAAATTCAATTTATTCAGAAGATCGAACGAAATATAAAAAGAAAAGAAGCATAAATTTAAAAGAAAAGTCATATTTTAAAAACTATTTTCAATTTTCACATTATTTTCAAATAAATATTTAATCCTACAGTACAAACGTTCTTTTTTTTTTAATTTAACGAGATATAAATATAGTATTAAATTTCATTTATCATAATATATCTCTTAAAACTTATTTTTGTGTATTTTACATACAGGGTACCTAGTAAAAAATTTTTCATGCATAAATATGTATAAATATATGTAAACATGTATAAATATTTATAAACAAACATAATTATATATAAAATATGTTCATACATGTTCATACATCCTTCTTTCTTTTGTAAACTTCTTTTTTAGTGTAATAGAAATAACAATAATGTGAAAACAAAATTATTAAAAGGATAATTTTCGCGCTATCTGTTTTTGAAAAAATCAAATTTAGAAAAAAATTGTTCGTATATAACTATTAAAATCTGGATAAAAGTCCTGAGATTGCATCAACCATAGTTATCTCTCTCCACTATATCTCATCCTTCATCACCTTAGTGCTGTCGCTCGGACTTTGGGCGAGTAGCAGTGGGGAGAATCATGAGGAACACGCTACGATTGATTGGAATCGGTACGTCGGTCGATGGATAGTCCGGGTTCTAATAATTATATATAAAATTATACATAATCGTGAATGATTTTTAATATGAACAATTTTTACATTTCTCTAAACTTAATTTTTTCTACAACACAATGTGAAAATTATTCTTTTAATTATTTTTTATTTTTTCGTATCATTATTATTACACTAAAGAGTAATTTTACAAAAAAAAAGGAATGCATAATCATGTATGGAGATATTTTGTGTATAATTATACATATATATTTATGAATATTTATACGTGTGTTTATGTTATACATATTTATACATATTCATGCATGAAAAACTTTTTATTGGGTAGTTCACTTAACTTGAAAACTTTGAACGTTTCACTTATTATTTTTAATGATACGAACAAAATGTTTCATATAAATTAGAACGGTTTCGAGAGGGACATATTTTGGTCACGCTGTTTTTTTCTAGATAAAGACGCCATATAGATATGAAGGTCACCTTCACTTTTTTAGATGTAATTATATGATTTTTTTACACAATATAATTCTCCTAATTATGTAAAAATATTAAGGTAGAGATATCGAAAAATTAATAGGTTTTGAGAGATATTTTATACTTTATCTTGTACATATTAACATATTAAATATTTCGTAAACTATTAATTTTTTACAATCGTTCTCATTATACCAATTGATTCCGCTTATTATTCTGTGTATAAAAGTATTAAAGTACGATTGTCAAAAAATTAACACTTTACGAGTAATTTAATATGTCGATACGTGCCAGAATAAAGTATATAATAACTCAAAACCTATTAACTTTTCGATATCCCTAACTTGATATTTTTACATATATAATAATCAGAAGAGCCATATAATGTAAAAAAAATAATAATTCTGTCTAAAAAGAGAGATGATCTTTATACCTATATAACGTCTCCACTTAGAAAAAAATAACGTAACCAAAAGATATTCTCAAATCCATTCCACTTTTATCTAAAACATTTTTTTCGTATCATCAAAAATAAGTGAAATGTTCAAGGTTTTCAAGTTATAAATGGACCCTGTATATTTGTAGCACAATTTTTTCTTAAAAAATACAAATATGGTAGATAAATTATAAGGCAAGATTGTAAGCCAAGCGAATGTAGCTGTACAAAAAACTGTCCACGTACTAGCGGTATATATAATTAATTTTTATAACTATTTATACATAGTTAAAAATTATGGATTATTTGATTGAATATTCAAACTCGCTGAAAATAAAGATAATTTTAGTTAAATTCTATTTAAAATAAAACGCTTTATTTCGAGAGGGTTATGATATAAATCTCTTCAAACTTATAGCCATAAATTCTATACATTTTCGTTTAAATGTTTCGTTAAAAAAGATATATGAAGAAAGTACGAGTATGTGAACGCACGTGTAAAGCAGACAAGTCGAAATAAACCCAGTAAGAGAAGATAAGAAGATGTGAAAAAGGGGGTAAAAAGGAAACTCTTTGTATTACAGGAAGTAAAATCTGTTACTTAAATTAAAGAGGTGTAATTATTTAAATAAGATCACAGATTGGCTAAATGTTTAATTGGTTTGTCTTCTCCTTTTCATTAAATGAATTAATAGATCCATAACTAAAGTATATTGTTACATGTAATGAAGACTCTACTATAAGTTTTTATTTCTATTTTATACATTTTTTCAAATGATTCGTTGGATACAGGGTTGTGTAGTGCTAAATTAAAAAAAAAAGATAAAAATTAAGTTAAAAAGTTAATTAATTTTTACTTAACTTAGTTACATTTTAGATTCTTAACTTTTAAACTTAATTTATTTACATTTTATCAGTATTAACTTTTAATTTGATTTTTTTTTAAGTCAATTCTCAGACACAATGCGAGAGAATAATAAATATATAATTTAGTAATTTTATATTGTATAATCGTTACTTGTGAATAAAAATAACCAGAGTCTTTAATAAATATGTTATAAGAAAAAAAAATACGAAAAATTATGTAAAATGGTCAAACTTTTTCTCTTTCTTTTTTTTATGGTTGTTCATTCAAATTTAACTTTTAATTTTTCAATTACTTTTTTATTAACTTAACTTTTAATTCAATTAATTTCATAATAGATTAATTTGTATTTTAATTAAATTAAATTTTCAAAACTGTTAACATTAACTTAACTTAGTTGAAAAAAAAGTTAACTTATTCAACGCTGGTATTATACTATTATATAGTTATACTTTCACATAGTTATATTTTCCGAATTTACATTCACATTATTTCTGGGGTCATATCTAAAAACACTTACATAGGAACAAAAAGTGTTGCATCGAAATTAATTATTTGATTATAATATTTATTTATAATGTGTGTAAGTATAAAACAGAAACTATAAAACAAAATGTAAAGAATAGTATTAAGAGATCTTATACTATGTGAAGTGTGAATTTAGCCTACAAATTTTATAAAGACATATGATTATGATGCGTACAAATTTTTCCGTGTGATTTATTGCAGGCTCGTTTAAAACTTTGTTTAAGAGTCAGACAATTCAACAGAATAAGACCCGATTGCACCAATGTTACTTTGATTTTAAGCGAAACTTTAAACTCTCTCTATCTCATCTT